TGCGACGGATGCTGAAACGTCAGGCGAATAAACGTATTGTCGCATCGATCGAGTTTTCTTCTTCTCCATAGAACCTACTCCTGAATCGATTAGTATACCGTGACCTGCTGCCGCGATGCATCCATTGTACATTCAATGCCCTGTATCATAGAAAGTTCATTATTCCGCAAAATTCCCATTTAACGATTGACAATTCCTATTGACAAACAATTGTTTTCGGTCATTCATCTTCCGGCCGGTACAATTATGTGGAAAATAAAACGGTCACTTATGTGCAGTGTTTATATGTTCCTTGGGGTAGGAGGGGGAAAGTGTAATTAGTCATCTCGGTGTTTCCTTGTCTCATGCAAGCTGGCGCTAGCGTGTTGAGGAAGTTGGGTGGGTCGCGCAGGAAAGAGGGGAGGAGGGATGTTCTCACGGTCGGTACTTTGAAATCAGTACGTCAGACACTCGGCATGTGTTCGACTACTCTCTATGTCTTCGTGTGACGTGGTTTTGGACGGCGTGGGATTCAAACGTGTAGTCGGCCGTGAGAGGCTAACTGCTTGTACCAGCGCCTTTTGACAGCGAAGAGTGGCCTTTGCTAAACGGATCACCGCTGCTTCGGCTGTGGCTAACATCCGTTTGCGCAGGTCTTTTGATTAGCATGTCCGTGTCTGGTATATGACCTGAAAGTCCTGCCTCGCGTTAACTTGGTGTTTTGTGTCGATTAAATGTGCGAGGATTGAACTTGGAATTCGTCGATTCTCTCCTTTGCCGACCCAGGCTGGTATGTGCTCGCGTACCCTCTTCTCCAGACGTACATACTTCAAACCGCTGACCGCGAGAACATCCCCCCTCCCCTCCCCTGCGCGCCCCACCTCATCACGCTGGCGCCAGCATGCGTGAGACAAGGAAACACCGAGATGACTAATTACACTTCCTCCCTCCTACCCCAAGGACCATATAAACACTGCACATAACTGACCGTTATAGTCTCCATATAATTATATCGGCCTAAGGATGAATGGCCGAAAATAATTGTTTGCCAACACGACTTTCAAACTTTATTATGCTTTTTTTTGAAACCAAATAAGGTTTTCTTCACAACACAGATTTCGGAACAGCAAATTGTTTCGCCCCAGTTAAAATATGTACGGAAACATTCAGGAGCTTTTCAAGCCAGTACGGGCGCGATTAGATTTCGTTGCTTGGTGTGTAATATCTCCTTAAAGTATGAATTCGTTCTTGGCGGACGTCAATACATTGCAAATCTCTTGGATGTATAAAAGCGCAAGGCATACTCTAACTACATATGAGCTCCTTCTGTATATAATGTACAATAACTTAAACGCTTAACAGGACGTCATTTCCTTCGATATCCTTATAAGAAATGCACTGCTTTAAATTAGTTTTGGGGATCAGTTTAGTTTTTGTAAGTTTTGTATCTCAGTTTAGAATAATGTGCACATCCTAGGGATTTCTTTTTCCAGAGCAAGGGGCACATCGGCCGCCGGAGGCGTCTGCTAAAGGCTTGCGTGCCACAGGCATTTTGAGATTATTTCTGTCAAGATTTCGTTTGTTTGGACGCATTATAGCAGTATTGGGGATACTCACCTCCTATTTTGACTTATCTGCCTTTGGAATGAAAAATCAAGAAGTTTGATGGAACAATGTCGTCACTTCCTCTGTCCAGCATAAAATGAAAGTCTTATCCAATGCGCCGGCTATTGCTTGCTGTGAATCTACTGAAGTTCTTATGAGGTTTATTTCAGCCTTCGAAGCCTATTTCTTTTCGCTTGCTACCTGCCCCATATACGAGTTGCAATAGCTTTATATTCGCTGCAAAAATAACCTGTGCAATTTCAGGCGCGGCTACTCGGGTGGTCATGTCCCCAGCATCCTTTCCAAGAGCGCGTCATCATTTTCGTTGAACGACTCCTACAAAGCCATGCTTGCTGCCTCCTCCGAGGCTGCCGCTCAGGCGGAACGCATCTCTCGCATTCGAATGCTGCAAAAAGAGTTGGACGATGCCCGTGCACGATCTGCCGCCAAAGAACTTGGTACGTCTTCCATTTCCTCCCACGCTGTCCATCAAATTCCTCCTCGTCTAGCCACCTAACTAATACTCCTCATTGGAGCCTTTGGATACTTGTATTTACTGTTCCCCAATTTAGGACAATAGTATTCTTTTGAAAGCTCACTGTCACGGTGGTGTCAAATGAGGGCCTACTGATCTGTTCATTTAAAAAATCCTGCCAACAAAAGGTTTAGTGGAAGCACAATTTCCACTTCATTCCTCTTGCTCTGCACTTTCACCTTCTTCCGTTAGAGAACTCTTATGTGCTGATCCCGATTCCACGGCGTTGCAGTCGCTGTTATTCATTTTAACTGTGGCTACAGCCTTGATGGAAACCACTTGTTTGCAGGCAGTCCACGGGTCCATATGTGTGGCATTTTCGGCACTCAACCGTTTATATTAGTGTTATTTTATTAATCTTCTACCTGCTGTTCAAGCCTACAGTGACCGCTATGCATGTTTATAATTCTTTTGTTCTGCTGCATTTGACATGATTGCTAGAGACATTCGTGGCAACGCAGCTTCCGTGCAGTCATTATGAGGTTTGAGCAACCCTCGAACACTGAAAACTGACCCTTTATATTGCCATTGCCCCTATCGTATCTTGAACTCATCGTCCATAATGACCACCATAGTGATATAAATCAAATCACTATTCAAGCGATGACATACCGGAACATGTATAATTCTACGTGACTATTGTCTAATAATCGTAATCAAGGTCAAAATGATGTCTTATGTCAGTTTAAGGTCGATTCTTGCGTGCAAATCATCAGTCCTTTGAGTTAATTTGGATTTGTCCCAAATAGAGAGACCTTGGAGATTGTTTACAAGTGTGTATTAGCAAAGGTTCTGGTTTATAGTGTATAAACAGAATATGCTTGGACCAGATTGCTTCGCTGTATGAATATCCTGTCGGCAATCCATTGGCTTGTTTGTTTTGTGACAAATGCAGTCTCATTTACATCGCTCAGGCAGCAATAGCAAGTAAAAAATTAAAGCCTGCCCACAGGAAATCCTACTTTCAAGTACTAAAAAATGAATTATCAGGTAGGGAGTTTGACCATGCTTAAAGAAATGCCATGGTTACTTAATTTAAGTGTCAGTTAAACACCCCAAATAGAGTAGGAGTCAAGCGTACATCCAGGTTTATGTTCACCCCCTTTAAGTCCTGAAGCGTAGAACTTGTTGTTTTTGTCCTCACACATAATTTGCCGCATTGACACATACTACAACCCTCACACTGTATTGCAGCTGGATAACTTTCTTGTTACCGTAAGCGGTCGCGTGTGGCGTCTTTCGTTGGTTGGGCCTCAAGAATTACGACTAAAATTACTTGCCGGTTGTGCGCCTAGAGCGGGTTTTATCATTCGTTTTGTTTCTTTGTGAGTGTAGCTTTTAGCGGTCTTCTGATAGGGGGCACAGTGTGTTGACTCTGAATTTTTTTACCCCTTATGCAGGTTTGACGCTAAACAACGGCGCGTTTGGTCCAGACTGTAAGATTACGCGTGTGGTCGCGACCTCCGGTACGTTTCTTTGTTATTTATTTTGTTCGAATTTCAAAGTTCTCAAATTTCTTTCCCTTATATTCGCCGTTTTTTGCTATTCGTGAGTTCTGATGCCACCAGAGAAAGCAAACCCAACTGGCTTCTCTCATTGAACGAAAAGTCGCCATGCATTTACCTACTTCAAATAATACCGAAAAAGTCTCACCTTATTGGCGTTATACATTAAGAGGCAAATACTCAGTCAGAAGGCACTAATTTGTTACATATCCACTTTTTTAAATGGCAGTCACTTGTATATTTTCTTTTGGATTGATCTCCAAACCTCGGTTCTTCACATCCTTCGTTTTAGATCTCGTGTTTCCCAGCACTAACGGACCTCAAGGCTCCGGCGAGGAAAGGAAGATTCCAAAGGGCGAGATTGTTGAAATAATCCAGACCAGCCGGGGCAAGTACTTACGCCTGCCACGTACGGGTGACCTGTACGCCGTGAAGGCCGGCCAGCCAGCTCCAGAGGAGCCCTCGAGCAACACCCCTGTTGCTACCAGCGAATCTGGTCCCAGTTCGCAGTCCACAGGGACAATGGGCACGCCAACGTCGCCTTCAGTCGCCATGCCGATGAACCCCACTGAGAGCCACCGCGATAGTTCCCTTTCTGGCGCTAACACCTCCGTTGGGCCGGGCAGTCAGTTCCCCTGCCGAACACCACCACACACAGAGGCAGCGCAGGCCGGACCTCAAGTTTCTCATCCCGCCACCACTACCACCACATCCGGTGCATCTGTTCCAGTTTTCCCATTGGTTAAACCCGATTCCTTTCCACCCGATCCGCAGC